TTTTAGTCGCATTATTGAAGTGCAGTAAAGACATGTACACACCTTAATCAAATTATTAATGTCGTGTAGAACTTTTCATTTTGCGACAGGACACACACACGGCAGTGTTCACCCGTTTGACAAAAGAATGGCTTCAACAACGCCGTCGTCTGTTTGCATGTATAGCATGACAAATAATTAACTGCTCTTGAAGCTTTCAGTAAATTAAAAATTAAACACCCAAAACTGTATATGGCATCATAATGAAGACTAACTATGTGTTTATATGTGAAATTCTGGAGGGGACGTCGGATGGCGTCACGTGGTGATGTAATGACGTGTGCCATTAATCGAACTATGTACTATAACATGTAAAACAGGAACATGAAAGGAATATTCTAAAAGCAACTCATGTAAACACCTTAATCGTAATATTGTCTTATTCAGAATAAGGTACATAATTAGATTATTGATGTCCATGTAAACGTAGTCATTGATGCGGCAGGAAGCCACTGAAGGCTTCCAGATTAAAAATACTAATGAAACCTTTTCAAATTCATGGCTAAAAGGATCATATTTTCCTTATTTATCAAGCAAAGTGATGTTGACTTCTATAAGGAGACGCTTTTTCCATTCTTTATTGTATCTGAATATGAAAAACACAAAGCATCTCAGTGTGTGACTTATTTACAAATAGGCTGTTCTACTGCCAAATACTCTGAATTGAAGTTACTTAAACACCCCAAATTTGCCAAACACATTTATTAGTACCACCAGGACTTTGCATGATTTTTTTTTTTTTTCAGATTTTTGCAGCAGAAATGTTTGAATTGCTGTAGATTTTCCCCAAAATTGTGGGTATATTTGCAGCATTTTTGTATTGTTTCACACTGAAAATGCATCAGTAATCACAATGTAGTCATGCAGTTAAGAGTTAGTGACAGTACGAGTTCTCGGCAAGGCAACCAACATAGAAATACTCTTCTAGATTCTATACTAGAAATACCTAGAAATGGCTTGCACACTGTCACTGAATTAGTATGTAATCAGGGACACTGATAAACTACACATTTTAAAAGTTATAAATGATTTAATGTTTTTAACAATTTAACAATTATATCATTGTCTAATGTTGTAGTTTTTTTTTTTTTTTGGATCCAATAAAATCTCTTGCTTGGTTTGGTAAGGCAGGCTGTTATTCTTTCCATAGTGACTCAGTAACTCTACACCATTTTTGGGGTATATGGAGCTGTATCAAGTGCTCTAGAGCCCTGATTCTTGTTAAAACAATCACGGCTACACGTGTCAAAACACAAGACATCACAGTCATCTAGTTCTGCAGAAAATCTTATAATGGTCCCACAGATTTCACACTCCTGCTATAGTGCGTAGGTTAGAGGTAAACAGCGGTGCTGCTATCTGTGGCGAGCGCTGAAGTGGCCTTTCATTGAATCTCACTGGAAACAAACCAGAGAAAATGCCAAGACAAACTGGAAAGACAAATAAAGCTTTGCAGAGGCCTCTCTGTGTTCATTCTTACCCAGGTGCCCTCACTCACCTTGTCTAGCCAGAATATTTCTGCTGCGATCCTGTCCGTTTTCACATATACAGTATACTGGAAATTGAAGTACAGTTTGCATTAAGCAGAGCAACTTGAAAACCCCAAGCAGTGCTGTCTGTCCAATAAAACCTTTATTTTACAGGTTACATTATGCAGCGGTACATTTCCATCAGTGTTTTACAGTAAAGTATAACCACAGACCTCAGGTGGTACTCATTTCAGGCTGTAATTGTCGATTGTGCAGCTTTTTTTCTGTTCCTATAAGGAGTGCTTACTAAGGCACTATTACTATTTGTACCTGTGGTTAGTGTAAAACCCTAACCCCTAAGTCTTAAACTTTAGCGTGGCCGTTTGTGGTACGGATATGAAATAAACGATATGGCTTGTGGAGAGTTGTGCTTGTACCTTTCTAAACAATCAAAACTTTTTTGCATGGTGGACGATAAAAAAGTTTTATAGTGAATGGTATTAGTGAATCCACTGAATTATCACTCTTTGAGTGTGCTAAATACAGAAGTCACTCCTCTCACCCTAAAATTACCCTAGATATAGGATAGTGATGATAACCATAGGAGCATTTTGCTATCTTGCAGCTAAAAATAACAAACATGTCTACAATTGAATTTGGTTGGTGTTAGTTTTATAAACTCATAGCTTGGTGTTAGTTTTATTAACTCTATAAGTTTTAATAACTCTAAGAACACCATTATATGCTCATAGTAACACACTTAAACCATAGCAACTGCATAGCAGGGTGATTATAGTTAGAAAAACTACAATAAAGCAACGGTTCTAATTTTCTAATTTTTATCAGCTGAACCCCATAGACATACAATAATTTACTTGAAGGATTCCCTGAGATTTTAAAGCTACACTATGTAACTTTTGGCCCTTTAGCCGTTGAAGCATAAAACTACAAGCTTCTTGCAGAAGAACATTGTTTTGGTAATTATGCAAGATGTGCTTTGGTTCTGCTGTGCCTCTGGAGTGCAGAACTGTGAGAGATCGTGCTGAACTGAAGTGCTTGACAGCTTCAATGATTATTATAGGTGGAGTCTTTGCTTGCTTTCTGTATATAATTAATTCACAAGTTAAATAAATGTTCATTTCTGAAATTAATATGTCAAAATAGACCTGAGCGCTAAGTGTTGTAGTAATAGATCTGCAAACTAATAAACCTGCTGCAGCATATACATTTTTTACAGTTAGGTACGGAAAAGGACAATTGCTTTAAAATTAAAAAAGAAGAAAAGGAAAAAAGAAAGAATAACAAGTTTGTTAAATAAGGCACAAAATATGAGGTATCATTCATGTCAGTGGTACAAAAGGTTTGGAAGTTCTGGGTGAGCAATAGTACAGTATGAGCAATAACAATAGTGACGCCTTAATAAGCAGCAGTAATTGAACCCAGTTCTACTCCCCTATAAAGCTTCACTATGCCACACTAATACAAGTTATGTATACACTAATTTTTTTCTGTTTATGTTTGTTAAAGTGGTGTGCGCTGCTGCGCTCTATAAAATAAGTCCTTTATATGTACCCATAATTCTCCACACTGTATATGCACTCTTAATTGAAGTTGTGAGTTCAACCCAAATGAGTTTGAAAACTAGCCCTCGCCTATATTGCTACAAAGTCAAAACTCTCTTTAAAACAAAAATAAAAGCTCTGTCCTAACAGTGACCAGTTATAGCTCTAGTTTGGAGATTTTTACAGAGGACGTCCCAGTGCTCTTTGCTCGTTTATGCTTTAGCAGAAATGATTTTTTTAGCCACAAAAAAAGTGTATTTTGACAGTGCTGCCATGATTAGAATAGCTGGGCCTGCCATTGCATTTTCCTAATTCTCACAAAAGTTAAATGCTCACACATGTGCTCATTTTGCTCCTATGCTGTGTTGTTGGAAAAACGTTATTAGAAATCCCATCTTTGGGTGGCTACAATGTAAATGTTGCAATTAAATCTTAAGAGAGTTTCTGCAAAGCTTGTAAAGCTATTGTTATGACAACCGATGGGTAGTTGACATACAGGTGCATCTCAATAAATTAGAATGTCGTGGAAAAGTTCATTTCAGTAATTCAACTCAAATTGTGAA